GGGGCCCTGGGGTGCTTGCGAGGTCTCCGAGTCCGTGTCGTGGAGCGGGGGCTGCAGGGTGAGACCCCGGCACAAGCCGCGAACCTGCGCTTCCCCCTGGGGAACAGCCCCATTGCTCGCCCCTAACGCCCGTCCCCATTGCCCCGCCCCAGCGTTAGGCTGCGCTCCCTTGCCGTGGGGAGCCTGGCGAGCCGCGGCGTCTGCCGCACAGTGAAGGAAGGAGCCTTCCCGTCCTGTTCGCTTGAGCCACATGCGAGCTGGCTAGAGCCTGACCCAGCCCCGTGGGGCGCTCCCTTTGCTGAGCGTGGGCAGCAAAGTTACAGCCTCCGCCCCCATTGCTCTTAATAACCTGGGGTCCTGGGACTCGGCCCGACAGTTGCCTTTCACATCGTGGGTTCAGAGGAAGGGGAGAAAGTGCCTAGTTGGTTTGGGTGCCGATGTTCTGCTCGTTCCCCCCCGCCCCATCCAACTTGGGGCCTCAGCTCTTATTAGTGTGAATTTAGTAACTTCATTTATTAGCCGAAAGAAGCAGCAGGCGTGGAATGTAACATTCATGTTGTGGGGAAATGGTCTAATTTTGGCTAGGCAATATTCAGTAGCCTTAAAACTCTCTCTTGGTTAAATGTGGTTTGTAGGTAGATGGAAAAATGGCTAGCAACAAAGACTGGTTTCAGGGTTCCAAGGTACCCAGTTTTGCTCAGATGCTAAAAAAGAACTTGCCAACTGAACCCCCTCTGGAAGACCCTCCACAGCCATCTCCACACCCTTTGAATATGAGCCTGTTTTCACCTTCTGAAAATAACATGCCAAATTCAGTGTCTAAGGTGACTCAAATCACAGGTATTCTCTCTTCATTTTTTTAAAGTTTGTTTGCTCCTAGGAGTGGCCTTTCCACACTAGTTCAATTAGATGAACATTTGTTGGGGGGGAGTCAACATGGTATTTGTAAAGAGTAACAAAAAACAGGACCATATAGCACTTTAAAGACTAACAAGATGGTTTATTAGGTGATGAGCTTTTGTGGGCCAGACCCACTTCCTTAGATCAAATTGTGGAAGAAAATTGGCATGACCATATATACCAAAGGGATACAATCAAAAAAAGTGAACACATATAAAAAGGACAAATCAGATTTCAGAACTGAGGGGGGGAGGTTAATGTCTGTGAGCTAATGATAATAGAGGTGATAATTGGGGAACCTGATAATTGGGGAAGCTATCTTTGTAATGGGTAAGATAATTAGCATCTTTGTTGAGACCCAGGCGTAAAGTGTCAAATTTAAGCATGAATGACAGTTCAGAGGTTTCTCTTTCAAGTCTGGTGTTAAAATGTCTTTGAAACAGGATGCAGGTAATCAAGTCGTTGAGACAATGCCCTTTCTGGTTGAAATGGCAAGAAACTGTTTTTTCTTTGTAATACTGTCTAATATCTGTTTTGTGGGCATTGATTCTTTGGCGAAGTGTCTGACGCATTTGTCCAACGTACATAGCAGATGGACACTGTCGGCACATGATGGTATAAATTATATTTCTGGATGATCAGGAATATGTGTTCTTGATCTTTATAACTGAATTGGTTAGGTCCAATAATGGTGTCAGCAGATTATATATGTGGACAAAGCTGGCAACAGGGTTTGTTGCAAGGGAAAGTTCCACGGTTGGTATTAGTGTGGTATGTCCTGTGGTTGTTGGTAAGAATCCTCTTGAGGTAAGGTGGTTGTCTACAGAAAACCCATTGACTCATAGAGTTACCTACATGCCTCCAGCTCCCATCCAGAACACACCATACGATCCATCGTCTATAGCCAGGCCCTTGGATACAACTGCATCTGCTCTAATCCCACTGACAGAGACCAAGTAATTATAAACCTCAATTACCCATCTGGAGAAATAAAAAAAACAAGTTGAAAGAGCCAGACGAATACCCAGAAACCATCTACTTCAAGACAGACCCAAGAAAACCAACAATAGAACACCACTTGTCATCACCTAGAGTCTCGAACTTAAACCTGTCCAACACATTACCAATAAACTACAATCTATACTGGAACAGGATACTACACTCCGAGAGGCTCTGGGAGACAGACCCATAGTCTCCTATAGACAACCACCTAACTTCAAGATGATTCTTACCATCATGTGCCAACAGTGTCGGTCTGCTATGTTCATTGGACAAACGTCTCAGACACTTCGTCAAAGAATCAATGCACACAAAACAGATATCAGACAGTATCACAAAGAAAAAACAGTTTCTTGCCATTTCAACCAGAAAGGGCATTGTCTCAACGACTTGATTACCTGCATCCTGCTTCAAAAGCATTTTAACACCAGACTTGAAAGAGAAACCTCTGATTTGTCCTTTTTACATGTGTTCACTTTTTTTGATTGTATCCCTTTGGTATATATGGTTATGCCAATTTTCTTCCACAATTTGATCTGAGGAAGTGGGTCTGGCCCATGAAAGCTCATCACCTAATAAACAATCTTGTTAGTCTTTAAAGTGCTACATAGTCCTGTTTTTTGTTTCAGCTAGACTAGACTAACACGGCTACATCTCTATTACTTTGTAAAGGGTATGCATGTTAAATAGCATGTAATTGAATAGTTGTTTAACCACATCAAAATTTAGTAGTTACACAACTATTCAATTGTCCCCCTTGGGGCCCGCAGCTAGTGCTTTCCGGCTGCAGTCCTGGGGAGCCCCCGGTGTGTGTGTGGGGGGGGAGGGGGTCTGTAGGAGACATCATGGGGGGTGGGACAGGCAGGTCCATGGAGCCAGCAAGCACAGAGAGCCAGCTTAGAAGCTGTCTTTCCACACATATTGGCATCCTTCTGCCCCCCCTCCCTCCCCACTTCCAGCTTATCGGTTAACCATGTAGTTGTCTACTCATTGACATCCCTAGTAAAGAGAACTTAATTGTGCCTCTCTAATCTACTACAATTCTTTGAGGTGATCAATAAGCATGGGGAGGAGTATCCAGTAGATCTAGTATATTTAGGTTTTTAGAAAGTCTTTGAAAGGTCCTTCAACAAAGACTCCTAAGCGAAGTAAGCTGCCATGGGCTAATATGGAAGGTGTTGTCATGGACTGGTAAACTGGAAAAAAGGTAGAAAGAGAGGGTAGAAATGGTCAGTTTCTCAGAATGGAGAGAAGTAAATAGTGTCCACCAGGGGGTCCGTACAGGAACCAGTCCTATTTAACAAATTCATAAATAGGGCTCTACCATATTTATAGTCTATTTTAGTCAAATTCAGGCTCGTAGGATTTTAAAAATTGTAAATGTCATGATTTCAGATACTTAACTCTGAAATTGGTGTTGCAGGGATCCTGACCCAAAAGGGAGCTGTGGGTGGAGGGTTGCAAGGTTTTGGGGGTTTTGTTTGTTTGTTTGTTTGTTTGTTTGTTGTTTTTTTAAGGGAAGGAAGACAGTACTACTATCCTTACTTCTGCACTTCTTCACAAAAAGTTATGCCCAAATAAATGTTAGTTATTCAGGTGTCAAAGAACTCATTTAAAAAAAGACCTTGAGGGCAAATAAAAGGTTAAAACTTGTTAAATCTCTCTTGTTTTAGGGCTGCAGTAGGCAGTAAGCAGATCCATGGGCCAGATATGGTTCACCACGGTTAGCCCCAGGGAGCTTCCAATGCTATATTTATCCACGTGTCTGCAAATATGGCCACTTTTAGCTCCCATTGGCCACAGATTACTGTTCACTGCCAATGGGAGCTGCTGGAAACACCGCTTGCACACCGCTTCCAGTGGCTCACAGCAGCTGAGAAGGGTGAACCACGGCTAACAAGAATTGCAAGTGGCCATATCTGTCGATGAGCAAGTAAATAAAGCACTGGTGGCCTGCCAGTGCTAATCTTGGTAAACCGCCTCTGGCTTATTGCCCACCCTTGCATTATGGTAACTTATGCTTTGTTCGTGCAGGAAGGATCCATGTGCATGCAGAGGTCTGCCCATCTAGAGTCTATGCATTCACAGTCCTTCATTATAAAGTACACTGGAATGTATAAAACATACTTTGTGTGTGTCCTGTTTTGCAGAGAAAGTTGAGAATTTTAACTATAGTTTTGTTTGATAGTAACAAATTCCCTGATCCCTTTGTATACAGGCAGTCCCCGGGTTACATACAAGATAGGAACTATAGGTTTGTTCTTAAGTTGAATTTGTATGTAAGTCGGAACTGGCTCCAGATTCAGCCGCTGCTTCTGAAACTGACCAGAGGCTGACTACAGGAAGCTGGAGGCAGAATTGCTCTGCCCCCAGCTTCCTGGAATCAGCCATTGATCAGTTTCAACAGCGGCTGAATCTCGAGCCTGGGACAGAACAGCTGGGCTGCCAGGACCAACCCGGCAGCACCCCAGCTGCTCTACCCCAGGGTCCACAACAAAAGTCTGGTCTGGTCTGGTCTGGTCTGGTCTGGTCTGGTCTGGTCTGGTCTGGTCTGGTCTGGTCTGGTCTGGTCTGGTCTGGTCTGGTCTGGTCTGGTCTGGTCTGGTCTGGTCTGGTCTGGTCTGGTCTGGTCTGGTCTGGTCTGGTCTGGTCTGGTCTGGTCTGGTCTGGTCTGGTCTGGTCTGGTCTGGTCTGGTCTGGTCTGGTCTGGTCTGGTCTGGTCTGGTCTGGTCTGGTCTGGTCTGGTCTGGTCTGGTCTGGTCTGGTCTGGTCTGGTCTGGTCTGGTCTGGTCTGGTCTGGTCTGGTCTGGTCTGGTCTGGTCTGGTCTGGTCTGGTCTGGTCTGGTCTGGTCTGGTCTGGTCTGGTCTGGTCTGGTCTGGTCTGGTCTGGTCTGGTCTGGTCTGGTCTGGTCTGGTCTGGTCTGGTCTGGTCTGGTCTGGTCTGGTCTTTTCGAAGAGGGGGGTTCAAGATTTTAGCAAGTAGTCAGTCTTATTTATGAGGTTTTTGCATATCAATATGTTTGTTATAACTGACGAATTCATATTTTGTATAGTTCAGATGCAGCATTTAGTTCATGTCATAGGTGCCTGTATTATGTGTATTTATTAACTGAACATAACATTTTTGTGACTTTTTGGTAAAAATATTTTTCCTGTGCTTAAAGCTTAATACACACTTGGATAATTGGTCAGTGTTTTGTTGCAAAAATAATCGAGTTTGTTAGACTGAGATGGTCTACGTCTCTGTGATAAAGTGTGTGAGTGTGTGTGTGTGAAAAAGAAATACCAGTGCAGTATCCTAAACACCTGCACAACCAGCTAAAATTGACCTGAGGGCACACATCATGAGGCAAAAACTGTTGCCCTTTGTGATAATGTAATAAAGAACTATGGATTGTGTTTCTGCTGTTTTTGTATGCAGTGAAACGAATGCTGATCTGTTAAATCCAGATAAATAGGCAATCTCTGGAAATCGTGGCCTCTGATTCTGGGATTATATGTGACTGAGTTTGACTTCAAACTATAAGATTTACTAGTCAAGGAACAAGACTTAGTGTCTTCAAAAGGGTGGGCTCTGATATTTACAGGATTATCAAAATACTTAAAAACCTCTTCAGTTAGAATAAAATGCAAATTGCTAAATCTTTTGTGTAGCCTTTTTTAAGATGCTGCAGTACTGTTGTCATACTTTTATATTTTGCTTTTAACTTACTACATATTAATGTCAAATATATTTTAGGTCATGTTTCAGACTTGCTATATTCCAAAGCAGCCCATTCTCCTCCAATCACTTCTCTTCTTCCGAAGAAAATACCAAAGGAATTTATACTAAAATATAAACGTGGGGAGATAAACCCAGTATCTGCCTTGTATCAGTATGCACAAATGCAGCGTGTTCAACTAGACTTGAAGGAAACTGTTACAACAGGTAAATATTTCTGTTTTTAAGAAAAAGTATCCTTTTTTCATGAATTTGCAATGTATGGAGTTGGTGTGACTAGCTGATGCAGAAACTAGTTTTATGAAAAACGTTAGTTGTATAATATGTAGTATTAACATCAGTTTTTACTGTGCTTTAATGTAATCCCATAAGTGGTTAATGTGATAATTACAAATCAGTTATAGAAGAGAATAAAGCTCATACCTTGAACTTTAGAAGCTTTTTTCTGCTACTTTTTAGACACTAATTAGTTCTTCTAGTGCAGCGGTTCTCAAACTTTTTGGGTTCCGGAGCCCTTTACATGTGTAAAAATTTATGCGGAGCCCCAGCGGTCCACTGATTGTATGAACACGTACCTATCGATGTTTCCAGTTTGTCAACCGCGCAGAGAGCCTGGAGATGTCTCACGGATCCCTGGGGCTCTGCGGAGCACAGTTTGAGAAACACTGTTCTAGTGTGTGTGTGTACATTGCTTAAGGTCAGGGCTATTCAACTTTGGAAGCTCCCGGGGGCCACCACAATGATACTCACAGTGCATTCCGAGGGCTGCAACATAAGTGTGGTTGCAAATACATGCAATTATATATGCAAATAACTTCTTTCACACTGATGGGCATGAATACAAAGATGAAGGCAAAACTATACAGCACATAGGACCCATTTAAGTCTTTTCTGCTAAATGCAATATTTACCCGATTTCCACCCATATGAAAGCACTTTTAATGAGCAATGACAGACCAGGAATGTAACTACTAAAACACATATCAACAGAATACCATTATATTAACCGCTTTTTTGTTTTGTCTCCAACTGCAGGCTGCATGTTGAGCCCTGTGAAAACCCAAACTGCATCACAGGCTGCAAACAAAGGGGCCACAGCCTGCACATTGAGTAGCCCTGCTTTAAATACTCATGGCTGGCCCATGCCTACTGAGACATAGGCTAAGAGGCTTTTTAATTGCAACGCAGACACTTGGACTCAAAGTGGAAAGGCCCCAGTGCTCTGGCTACAGCCTCAGCCTGAATTTCTCTATCTCAATTAAAACTCCACATAGGCCAGCTGTGGGTTTTTAATTTCAGTGCAGACATACCAATAAGCAGTTATTCATCTTATAAGCAACTTTATTCACCACTTGGCCTACTGTGTCTGCACTAAATACGAATTAATATTATGCGATCTTGAACATTCTCATTTCCTGGCTTGTGTATTTGCATCTTCTCCACTCATGCATTTTGAGGTGTTTCACGTTGATATTTGGGCACAATTGCCCTGTATCTCTGTTTTTTTAGCACCATTGAGATTAAACTTTCCAGACTGAATTACATATGTTCAAGACCATGAAGAGAGAGTGCCAGTCAGTGAAAGATCCATGTACACTCAAAACTATCTTTGTTGATAGATCAAAGCATGGCGATGATAGGAGGATTTTCTCTCCTATGCAGTGCAATACAAAGAGAGGTGGAAACTGATGTTCTGAAGGTCTTGTTTTCATTGAGCTTGTATCCGGGTGGCCTGCTAGGGCCCTGGGGTCCCCTCCAGTTCAAGGGCCACTACCCCGATCCGACCCTGCCCCCGGCTTCTAATGCGCCGTCCCCACGGTCCACCCCTGACAGTATCTTCCTCACGTCCTCGCCGCTCCCACCGGAGGCTTCTCCTGTCGCCTTGTCCACTGCCCCGCTGCTCCGGGTCACTGGCTGGTCCGGCACCGCCCCTAGCACAGGGCCCCCCGTCAGCCGTCTCCGGGCCGCCTCGGCTGTCCACGTCGGCCGCGTCCTCTCCGGGCTGGGTCCCCAGCTGGTCTCGCGGTCTGTCCTGCGGAGGAGGCTGAGAGCAGAATCTCCCCTGCTCTCTGCTTGCCTCCCCCCCGCCTGTCTCTTTCTCCCTGCTTTTAAACTCCCCGCTCGGCGTTCCTCCCGCCCCGCCCTTCCTGGGGCCGCCGCCATCTCCCTGGGTCCTACCTCCCCCCTGCTAGCCTCTTGCCTGCTGGGCGCATGCGCGCCCGCCATTTTGGTTTCCCCCGCTCCTGCTGGCCGCCCTGCTGCGCTGCGCCGGCTTCCTGGCGCCCCCTGATCTTCCACGCGGGGTCCGGGGCTGTGGATCCCGTGTCTGGTAGTGCGGGGGTGAGTCCCCCGGTCACAGAGCTGTCTTCCTACTTGGAAGTAATGTGTACTATTAAATTAACCTAAGAGGAAAAATGAGATTGGGGTAATTGAAATTCTGTCTTCTGACAGACTTTGTGATGTTGGGAAGTATATTATTGAAAGTTTTGCCCTAAATGTTTGTCCCCTTTTTCAGAAGTGACTTGGGCACTTATGAGACTTAGTTTGAAAGCCAAATAGATTTAGGCTCCTAGATCACTTTTGAAAATGGAACACAGGCTCCACAGTTTAGGTGTTCTTGAAAATTTTACTCTTAATTTCTGTGTGAAGTTCACATCCTAAACATCACACCATTACGAAAAATAGCCTCATTTTATGGAAGCTCTCAATGGCCATAGTTTCCACTAAAATGAAAGGCACTTAAGTGAAATGAAATGCTTAGCACTTCTGTAAATTTGTGCTTTTCATTAATTGGCGTAAATCTATTTATGGATGTTGGATAGAAGGTGAAATATAAGGATGAAATATAATAATTTATATAAAAAGTAGTTTAGATTTGTTAAAATATCTTGGCTTCATAGTCACCTAACACTCCATGATTATAAATGCATAAAACTAATCTATACTTTTATGTGTGGCTTCTTTTTTTCAAGGCAACGTGTTTGGGAGTTACTTTGCTTTTTGTGCAGTGGTGGATGGAGTTCAATATAAGACAGGATTGGGGCAAAACAAAAAAGAATCTAAATCAAATGCTGCAAAATTAGCTCTTGATGAGCTACTCCAGTTGGAGGATACTGCACCAAAGGTTTTTGAAAATTCAGGTAAATATTTCAATAATATGTCTCTTAAAATACTTCTTTTGTAATAAATGTGTAGAGTAGCTTTGATTCAATATTCCTGCACCAGAGTCTTCTCTTTCCATTTCAGTGAATCCTTTCTGCAGAGTTACTTAGTTTGCAATCCTTACGTCTTTGTTTTCCTGTTCATGTATTTTTAAATCCTGCTTCAAAAGTTCCTGCCATTTACCAAGTGGAAAAAAATAATAAGGAAGTTAACCCTTTTCTGTAGTGTCTTCTATGTTAGTTATTCTCTCCAGGAAAAAAAGAAAGATAGTCTGAAACTTTTTTATATTGGAAACCTGATGGCACTAAGTCATTGCTTTCTGAAGAATTCAGTCATTACAAAATCAATCTGCTTTTTTGAGGCAGGTACTTATTAATCTGTGCTCCTGTGCTATACTTTAGAAAAAGAGCATTACTTTATGGAATGTGGACTAATTTAGTGAAACTAAATTAAGAAGTGGATTTTTGTTTGATAAAATAATTAACAGATGGCCAAGTGTGAATTTCAATTGTCCTTGATGTTTGAGGGCCTTCCTGTTTCTATTTCCGTAGCTTGAAAAAACTCTTTTCAACAACCTTTATTTTGGGACTTAAACTAAAATGTAAGAACATGAGTTTTCAGTGCTTCCCACAGTTGAAAGTTTCTTTACATTAAAATTACAGGTCCTCCCCGGATTCCTGCAGAACCCAAAGTTTCAGCTGACTCAACTTATGTTTCAAAGATTCCTTATGGTAGGTAATCAATTTCCTTCTACTGTTCCCTGAAAATTAAATTGGAAAGCTAATGTGTCTTTATGGAGTTGAATTTGGTATCCATTCCTGCAAACATACTGATATTTATGAAAGTATTACTACCTAGTTTGTGCAGGGATGTCTGTGTTTTGATGATGATAATCTCACAGTAACCTTTGAGCTAAGATTGGTGTTCCTGTCATATAGATGGATAAATACACAGATGAACTTGCTTAAAGTTAGTGAGTTAATGCCAGAGTTCTGTCCTCAAAATATAAAAGGCTGTGTCTGATAGTATGCTCCCTATGTACAATCTAGCATAGGTTTTCTTATTCTCAATTTTTCATGTACGTTTTGAATTTTTAAATTCACAAATGCTTGTTGGCTTTGTTCAGTAATGATTAGGGATGTTAAATTTCAATTAACTGACTAGTTGAATAGTCAACGCAATTTGCATCAACTATTTGATTAATTGATAGGGCACCTCCGCCTTTGAAGTGATCCCGGGCTCCATGCAGCGCTGCAGCTTTGAAATGCCACCTGCAGCCTAGGAACATGATCAGCTGGCCCTAGGCTGTGCCACATGAAGCCCAGGGTCTGGCCCCAGGCTCTATACAGCACTGCTGATTTGAAGCACCCCTTTCTCCCTCCCCCCCTGGCTGCCTCTTTCTGATAGGAGGCAGCAAGGTGGGGGGGAAGCTACCACAGGCGGCCCCCGACTTGCGACATGATCGGTTCCTAGGGAAGCGTCACAAGTCGGGAGCATCGTAACTTGAACCCTCATTACAATAGGCGTCATGCAGCGTTGTAAATGCGGACTGAGGACATAAGTTGAGGGTTTTTGGCCCTTCTGCACTTAAAAAAATGGTTGTAAGTGTGAGGGGTTGCCACTCAGGCCGTCACATCTCGGGGGTTTCCTGTAGTCAACTACTCATTCATATCCCTACTATTGATTAGTGAATGTACTGAATGATATCATATGTTCAGGTTTGTAGTTCATCTGAATAGTTGACATTGCTTTGATCTGGTTTTGCCTACAAATTTGTATTTTGCTGATTTCTGTAATCTTTTCATATTTTATGTCTTCACTAGAGAGACGGCATCTTGTATACGAGAAATTTTCACAAGCTGTCAGGGAGGCCTTTAACAGTCTGGCTGCCAAATATCCTGAGTACCAGAGTTGTAGCAGTTCATTGGCTGCTTTTATAATTGAAAAAGGCAAGTTTGTTTTGCTGTTAAGTGTACTTATATATAAAAAAAACTTTTATATGTATGGGATACATATACAAAAAGCTTATTGAGCATAATGTAGCTTAACTATAGTTGCCTAAAAAAATCCCATAGCAAGCAAACATTACTCTTTTTGGCATGCCATAAAATTATTTATACAAAACAGAATGTTGCTGTATTGCCCTTGAAAGGATATTATAAATATGTATTTGTATACATTGAAATGTAAAGCATTCCATTGTGCTAGTCCTTACCAGAGAAGCTGGAAAATGCAAGGCCTTCTCAAGATTGTTGGGGTTAAAACTGTAGCATAATCTTATTTGCTCGGTCTTACTCCTCATTTTAACATTTCAGAGGCCAATCACAGTCAGTTAATGTTTGTTATATGCATTTTGGTGGGAGTTATTAATACATGAAATTAAAGGATGAGTTTTCAGGGTAAGAGGTTTCATAGTTAAAAGCTTTTCTTTCTTTTTCTTTTTTTCTTTCTGTCTTTCTGTCTTATTGCGTGTTGGAGTCTGTGTTTTGGACAGAGACCCTATTGTATTAGGTGCTGTACAAATGCAGAAGAGAGAATCTTTGCCCCAGAAGGTTTATAATTGTAGTAAACTCTAATACAAAATACTTGAAGCACACTCACTATATTTAAGTAGGACAGAACAGAAAATGCATCTCTCTGTATGTGCACGTGCGCGCGCACACACACATACACACACTCCCTCTGTCTCTCTCTCTCTCTCTAAATCAAAGGCCATGTTTTGTAGTAGGTGCAGCCTATAGTGACTTTCTAGGATATTACCAAGTAGAATACCATTTGTGATGGGATTCCCAGGATGTAAGCTGGGACTGTGGGACTGCTGTGCCTCTTAAAATTCTAGCTTAGGCGCTCTCTCGCATAGCTTTGCTCATGACAAACAACAAAGCCTTCCAGGTGCTGTTCTCACTTGTCACAACTACATGTAGCACCCCACACCTGGATAGATTTAATGAATACTCCCAGAACCACTCATGAATCACACAGAGAAAAGAACCAGACAAATTTTCCCAGCCATATACAGGCAGTCCCCGAGTTACGAACGGGGCAGTTCCTCTCCCTGGTCTCCAGCAGACCAGGGAGAGGAAGCAAAGCGGCGGAACACGTGGGCAGCGGACAGGGGTGTCCGCTGCCCACGCGCTCCGAGGCTTGGCTCTGCTTTGCCTCCCCCCCCCCATTTCCCCCCCTCTCCAATTT